CTACTGTCTTATCATGCGAAATTTCAGCCTATAGCACTTGTGCTAACAAAAGCTTTAATCAAACCTACTGGCACTGCCGTTATATTATTAAATATTATGGTCGACATTATAAATTTCTTTTTTGATTTGGATAAGTTTAATATATTTCCACCAAAATTTCCAAGAAATCCGCTTAATATTGCGAATAACACACAGAATACGGGTAAAGGCCATATTTGTATTATTGTTTCTAAATCTATAGTACCTCCAATTTGAGAAAATAAGAGACAAGGAAGAAATAGATTCAAAACTAGTTTCGCAAGTATCTGGAGAGAAATAAAAGAATATAGATTATATTTATCTGCAATAGAATATTTTGACTAAGTGAGAAAATACGAAGGAAAAAAAAATAACCTTTTTTATCGTTGGAGTAAGGATACCACTCTTTACGCCTAAATATCCGACTAAGACCATACCGACTACATATGAACTTGACTGTTTATACGCAAAAATCAGAAAATTAGAGAATCAGCAAAACACTAAAAAAAATTAATATTAAATTACCCCAAACGCAGCGAGTAATAATGATGAAAAAGTCAGTTCTGAAGGCTCCATTATAGAAAGATCGAACGATAGGTAAAGATAACCAATCCTCTCAAAAATACCGAACCAAGATACGCTTTCATATATTGGTAAATTTTTATATATTAATACATTATTTGCAACACGCGAGCGACGATACCGTAACATAAGATGATTTTAGAATCCTTATTTAGAATTTTGGCTATGTACATTCCGAAAGTATTTCGTCTAATCAATATCGATATTTTTGGTTTATCGATGTTGCATAAATGTGACGCAAAATATTAATGTGTCATGCGTGAATAGATAACATAATATATAACAAAAAAGGTTAGTTTGTTAAACGTCATTATCAACATTTGTAACGTAATCATTTTTATTTTCAGAAATTATGCATAATCAAGAGACTTTGCATAAAAATAAAAAATTTTACTGCGAATGTAGAGTTTCATCAAATAAAATCCTCGAGGTCTTAAAGGATTTCAAAGTCGGCAGCACTCATTTGGAGACATTGATTAACAATCGCTATTATCAAAATGTTTTGTGTACAAACAAAAATGACTTTTGAATTCTTGTGTTCAGATTGGTAACATAGAAAATGTATTTAAATAACGCTATAGGCTGAAATTTCGCATGATAAGACAGTTGTGATTTATAGAAAAGGAATTTCTTCGATAGAATAATATTCGAACGACAGATAAGATAAGAATGATTTACAGAAAGATGGTTTGTAGATTTTGATTTTTCCGATTATATACGATAATGCACTATATCGATATATTTAATAATTTTGAATACCAGGAATAGAAATAAATTTATTAACCTTATCAAAGAAATCTGATTTTGCTCTAAGTTTCTAAGTAAATCAAAACTATATGTGGTCACTAATTGAGCTTATCAAAGATTTCATACATGTACGTACGTATGATTAGTTACATTTACAGTGCTGTATATTGATATATATAAACCGTGGTGTATTGTATATCAGAATCCCGATACACAAAATCCCGACAAATTAAAATCCTAATTTTAATATTTTTAGAATTTTAATTTGTTGAGATTTTGTGTATTGGGATTTTGTGTTTCGGGATTCTAATATACAACCGTTTTTTTTTTTGCTAGTTATAAATATATCAAAAAAAATAAGTCTTATAAATTAAAAAATATATTTATAATTATATAACCTTTAAGAAAATAATTATTTTGTATACAGTGTGTTTATACACAGTAATTTGTACTATATATTGTATATAATATGTAAATCAAACCAATTTTTATTAAATTAATTAAAATTAATTTTAACTAATATTAAGGTTAGAATTAGAAGCTAGAAAGAGACAAAACATAGTTTATACTAAAATTTTGCAAATTTTTTTAGTCTTTAAAAAGATAGTTTTACAAGCGAAAGTTTAAGATATATTATTTGCTTTGTTTTAGTTTTATTTTTTTGTATATACTGTTACGGGGTGAATTGTACATTTAATAATTTATATACAAAAAGATATAATTTAGGTGATAAAGCAACTCGCCAGAGCGTGACGTTGGTGATTTGACAATAATTTGATTTATTAAAAGAATTATTATGGTAAGTTCTTGAAGGTATTATGAAT